ACTATAATCTAGACCAATGCAATGGTTAAACTGAATAATATATAAAAAGTACTTATTATTTTTATATAATTAGGTATTTTAAATACGGGCAAGATAACAATTACGGTGAATATAATTTCTTTAATAATAAGTTTCTAACAATTTGTCACATAATACATAAACCTATTTGACCGAAAATTTATTTGGTTTTTGTTGACCCTATTATTAGAAAATTGAATAAAATTTTAATCAACTATTAATCGATTACAAAAAATAGAAAACCATCTGTGTGTGCTATACTAAGAAATTTCTGGTAATTTGAAAAGTTCCTGCTCAATATACTATACACAAACTTCGAAAAAGGTATAAAAAGAAAGTGAAAGCATACAAACATAAAGAAACAAAGAGAAATATTACAATAAATCCACAAATTAACAAGTATTGTATCTGAATTTCTTTTTGTTGGACTTAATTTAGGTAATTTTTTCATACAAAGCTTATATTACGGTTTTCAATATTTAAACAATAGCCATGTTTTTATAGAGCCGTTTATAATTTTGTATATTTAAGAAATAGTTATGTAATACAAAATTATATGATACACTTAAAAATAAATATTATGTACCCACAGAACATAATGAATAAAATAAATGAACGTAACAGAAAATGTTTTTTTTATTATATTATAACCAATTAATAGATTTTGTTGCTAAATTATTTCGCAAATTTATATTAAACTATGAAATATAATATAGAGGGTGGTCCGAATTGTATTCCAAAATCTTCGGCGGCATATTTTGCAGATATAAATAAGTTAAAAATGTTCCTATAAATGTATGTCTAAAATGCTTAGTTTCGGATATACAGGGTGTTGAAGTTTCATTTTAATTTCGATTTTTGCCAAATAATTTCTGAACTAAAGTCGGTATTTAGATGAAAATTGGAGTCTGTAATTTTTTTGACATGAGAAATTTTGATTTTATGACTTTTGCTTATATAGAGGGCAGAATCTACATGTTTTTAACTGGTTTGTAGAGTAATAACGTTTCGTCCGTACCTGTATAAAACGACTGAGAAAAAAATATATTTCGGCCGTTTTTTTTAAGTAAAAAGGGTCTCTTGGTAAAAATCGCTACGAGTAAAGGTTCTCGAAATATTTGAAATCGACATAATCAATACACGTCATCATTGACATAAATTAAACACGTTGACTAGATAGTTATTAAACTGAAATAATAAACTTGAAATGTGTTTGTGTCAAGGTTCAACAGAAACCAGAAACTGTTTTATCATAATTTTTTGGAAGAAAAATATATGATCAAAAAAACGAGAAAGTTCCCAAATCTATTATTTAAGTCAAAAAATTGGCGCCGTGAGGCTCGTCGTATAGCCGCCCATACTAAAATATGTTAATATCTCAAAAACTACGACTTTAACTGATTTTGATGTTATTACAAATTTTGTTGCAAATATTATTCCTAATCTTAATCTGAAAACCGCGTTTCGCTAGCTACTGTAATTTTGGAGTTACGATTTTTTTAAATTTTTAACCCCTCCTATACCCCCTTACCAACCCCCCACCACCACCAAAAACTAATAGCCAGATTCTCTGGTGCCACAGTATTTTTGTGCTAAATTTGGTTAAAATCGGTGTTACAGACGGACAGACAGACAGACAGACACCATGAAAATATTTTGTATTTAGGTCATTTATGACCCAAATAACTCATTTTGAGTAAAATTAAAAAATCTTTTTTTACCGATCTTAATAGCCTGCCATACCTATTGGTCGGCTAATAACCATAGAGTTAAAAATTCAGATAACTATCTACTCAACACGTTTATTTTTTTTTGTTTTTCCATCCTTAAATATGTTGCCCATCCTTAAATATGTTGCCCATATAGTATACAGTTGCCCGTAGCATTTTTTACGGACGAAAAGTATTACCCTTGATTATGTATATAAACAAAAAAAAAGGGCTTATTACTCTTCAGAACAGTTAAAACACAGGTATGTGACCTCTATAAATAGGAGTTATATATTGACATCGAAATCAAATGTAAAATGTCAAAAAATACACAGACACCAATTTTAATCCAAATATCGATTATAATTCAGAAATGATTTAGAAAAATACAAAATAAAAATGAAATTTCTTCACTCTGTATCTCCATAACGAAGCATTTTAGGACATAAATTTATACGAACTTATTTACTTATTTTTTTCTGCAGATTATGCTGCCGAAATTTCCCGAATACAATTCGGACCACCCTGTATAAATAGCCGGATATGTTAAACCTATGTAGGACTATTATTTTTAACATTTCAATAAAATATAATAGTTTAATTATATCATTGCGTGGGTGTCAATCAATGTAATTCCATATTACTGTAATTGTGTTTATAAACTGAGGTCAAGATTTCGTCATAAGAGCTTGTGTGCACATGCAAGTAAAATAAGTATTTAAAAAAATCTCATGATTGTACTCCTACATAGGTACATATATTATTTCACTATTTCACAAAAGAGGCAGCTTAAGATTTATTGACAAAAACGGTGGCGTGACCTAGAGTATGATCACATCTTATTACTGTAGACGTCGGGCTGAAAGAAAACGTACTAGGTCTATATATATACTTTGTGAAAGAAGACTTAGAATGGAGACATTGCACCGAGCATTGCACCGTCAAGTGTAACAGAGCTTGGCTGTTTTAGATCCGCTTCACAGATAATAAGAGTATGCTGGAAGAGCATAGTGAAGGTTTATGTGCAGCAATCGGACAAAAAATTGCTGATTGATGATAATGGTAATGATCTTAAGAGGAAATTAAAAATATATTGAAAAATATTTTAATAATTAATCAGAAAGAGGATCAACAATTAATTCATAGTTAATCAGTATATCAGTTTTTATTTTCTTTTTTGACAGTTAATCGTTTATATTATATAATATTATACATAATATATGTATACCGGGTGCGTCTCGAAAGAGGCTCACCCCTATAACATTTTTTATTTTTTTTCACATAGAAAAACGAGATTTGGTATGTTGGTGTATGACATAAACGAGGATTGATTGACGTGTTCAATTGTTTTTAGTCACTTCCTGTTTTACCGGAAATGACTACAATACAACTTTTGATTTTTAAATGGCACCCTCAGTATATTTCTACTTTATTCGATAGAAAATGACACACTGTGTGGAATGATATTTCCGCTTTAAACAATCGTATTTTAAATTTCCATCTAGAGTGCGTATTATGGCTATGACTGTATTATAAATTAAAAATTAGTGTTTTTAATTTTTAATCAAGGAGCCCTGGAAAAATAGATCTAATGTTTTTCGTGTCTTGTCCTGCTCGTTGTCCTGGCTGATTAAAAGATGCTCAAATCGTTTTTTAATGGTATCCGATTTTTCAAATGGAACAAGGATGGCTCATTAGAATATTTAGAAAAGCATTTCTTTACGAATAATTTGGTACCACACACTTGGCATTTCTAGTCAAATTGTTGTTATGAACCTCATGTTACAATTTCAAATAAACCATATGCGAAAATGTTAAAAATTTAACATATGATATGGCATTCTATTCAGAGCGTCATTTTCTATCTAATAAAGTAGAAATATACCGAGGGTGCCATTTAAAAATCAAAAGTTGTAGTCATTTCCGGTGAAACAGGAACTGACCGAAAACAATTGAATACGTCAATTAATCCTAATTTATATTATATAGTAACATTTCAAATCTCGTCTTTTTATCTGAAAAAAATAAAAAAAAGTTATAGGGGTGAACCACTTTTGAGACGCACCCGGAATACTAGATTACAGCTACAGACGTAAAAACGTGTATTTGGCATTGAAATAAGTATATACCATCATTTCAGTTAACAAAATTATTAGCAACTTTGCTAATCTGCTTGGACTATGGATGGCAAAAAAACTTCGATGTATCGATACATTGATACTTATATATATCACCTGGAAATCATGATTTTAAATGTTATAAAATAATAATGTGGCGGTTAATATAATTTACTAATCTGTTTAATAGTGTCATCTGGTATCATTCATAAATTATCGTTTCGAACTTTTCTCGAATACTTAAAAAGACTAAAGATTTAACGTAGATGGACTTGATTCTTCGAAAACATGGATGTAAAACATTGTTAAAAAAACATTAATGCGTCGATAGTTTATAGTAATATAGTTTATAATTAACAACATTGATCTATTGTTGTCATCACTAGCTTGGACACAAGATGGGGGCCATTAGTCGTTTGTTGTCAATCGAGTTCAGATTTTTGTCAAAAAAAAACACCTTTCGCACGAATTCGGCACAAGTTCGAGTACGTTTCCCCTAAAATGGAGGAAATATTTAAAAAAGCTGAAGAAGCACTACAAGCGTTATTTCCACCTAAAAGTGAATCAATTTACCAAAAGTAATATAAAATATACCTTCAGTGGCTGGAACAGAAAAATATTCTAGCAGGGGAAGTCGATGAAACGATGTGCTCTTGTAATTTTATTATATGTGACATTAATAATATATTATTCAGGTAGTTATATAAGTGTCAATTTTTATTTTATATTATTAACCAAAATCTGTATTGTATTTCACATGGTTGCTACCTATAAAATGTAGAGGAAATTATGGCATCTTAATTCCCGTTATTAATATCGCAAGGCAGTTATGACTTTATTTATGGTTACCGTTACCAAGACGATATAAGTTTATTTTAAGATTTTATTTTTTTTTATTAATTTTTAATAATTTTTATGTAATTTTCCATTTCTCAATTTGTAAAGATGTTATATTTATTGAATTAACATTTTAATTTATAGAAAAAATATATATTTATGAATGCTAAAAAGCAGCCTGGGAGTGCAGGTAAACAAACCAAAAGAATATATTTGGTAAAGCTAAGATCTCCGTGTGTCATTTCAATGAAAATCAACATCTAATTTCCATGTTTCTACTTTAAAGCTATTTTAGTTATCCAGCAAAAACACAATTTACCTTAATATGCTTAATATCCATTATCGATAGTATACGTTTCACAAAGCACAAATTTAACACAAATGATTATAAACTATAAGTACTTTAATTACTAAAGCTATAGATACAAAATTTCTCACACCACACACAGCGACTAGCCGAAATCATAACCAGAAGTTACAGATATAGGTATTTCAGCATCAACGGCTCCCACCACCCTTGGCGTGGTATTTCGTGAGCTTATACTCTTCTTGTAAATGGTCTCATTACGTCGGTTGAGCAGCTCGAAATCTTGCAGCGATTGCGGCAGACACGCGTCTCATTCTTTTTTCGAATGTAAATCGTCGATTCACGGTTACGTGAAAGGATTTTCCTTTTATTTTTTGCGCGACTGGAAAAACGTCGATACAATTATGAATGGCGATTTTGAAGTCAGTGATCCATAGGGTGATTTATTGGTGTTCATTAAAAAATTACTACACCGCTGGCTGTTTTACGAGACCCTATAGTGAATTGCAAAATGCTTCATTTGAGTTATCACATTTTAATTTGATGTAATTTAGCAAAATAAAACACTAAATCACCACAATACACCAAAACAATTTTACGTTTACACTGTATGCGCGTTTCGCTAACCATGTTAGCATCACCAGCAGATGATTAAGAACTAAACTAATATCTACAAATTGGGCGTTTATACCGGGTGCGTCTCGAAAGTGGCTCACTCCTATAATTTTTTTATTATTTCAGATAAGAAAACGAGATTTGGTATGTTAGTATATGACATAAATTAGGATTGATTCAGTTGTTTTTGGTCACTTCCTGTGTCACCGGAAATGACTACAACTTTTGATTTTTCAATGGCACCCTCGGTATATTTCTACTTTATTCGATAAAAAATGACACTCTGAATAGAATGATATATCATATGTCAACTTTTGACATTTTCGTTTAAAAACAAATCGTATTTTAAATTTCAATCTAGAGTGCCTTGGCGGTGTTAAGCCTTGGAAAAATAGTTTTTATCGTCTAATGTTTTTCGTGTCTTGTGTTGGTCGGTTAAAAGATGCCCTAATCGGATTTTTGATAATATCTCAATTTTTTCAAATGGAACAGGGGTGGCTTATTAGCATACTTGGAAAAAAACATTTTCTTACGAATAACTTGGTACCACACACTTAGTATTTTCAGTCAAATTGTCGTTATGAACCGCATGTTACAATTTAAAATAAACCATATGCGAATATGTCAAAAGTTGACATATGGTATGTCATTCTATTCAGGGTGTCATTTTCTATCGAATACAAGTCGTATTTCCAGTGAAACAGGAAGTGACAGAAAACAATTGAATACGTCAATCAATCCTAATGTATGTCATATACGAACATACCAAATTTTGTTTTCTACGTTTCGTTTTTCACTTTTGAGATGCACCCGGTATATCCGCTCCGTTGGTTCTGTCTGGGCGTGGCAAAACTATCCAAGCCAGTCAGAACCAACCGAGCGTAATGGTGCGTTTAGACTTGAGCACGCACGCACTGATACTCCGCGAATGCTCAAGTGTAAACGGCTGTGCGCGCACGCTCACTCTGAATCTGTCTGTGCGCGAGGAGCCGCGAACGTGAGCCGTCTGGTGTCGGTTTTTGGTCCGTGCTCAAAGGGATTTTATGTGTGCGCGAACGCTCAATTTGGACCGCCAATTTGTTTTGTCTGCGTTCGTGCGTGCGTGTGTGATTTTTTTTCGTTTTCTTTATTAAAATTATGGAGTTGATCAATGAATCTTCGTTATTATTAATTGAAAAATATGAAAGTTGCCTTTATTATGGGATGTTAAACATTCTTTGTATTATTAAAAAATCAAAAAAAAATATAACGCATGGCAAAACCTTGTAAATAAAATTAATATTGAATATGTCGATATTAATGAAATTGCTATTCTAATATTTGTATCTTTTGTTCGTAATTTTTGGTGTTATTAAATTTTGTAAATATTTAAAGTCGGGCCTGGTCATTCTTGTAAAGGTTTTGAACTGATCATAGCCCTCCTCAGACACTAAGTTGTTGCAGTAAATTATATCGATTTCCAAAAATTTGAGTTTGCCACCGACGATGTTTTCGATTTTTCTTCTTTTTAATAATTAAGCTGTGCATAACAATGACTTCAGCCTCGACTATTTCTTGGTCGTCCATTATTTTCGCCAGCACAACACTGCTGTGCGCGCACAAATGGATCACTTCATTCGTCGAAAAATAAGTTTTTAATTTGAACGGAGCCGAGAGCGCGAACGAACGCCGTGCGCACGCACGCTCAGCTCGTGCGTACTCAAGTCAAACCCACCATAACAATTAGTTACCGAAACTAGAGCAGTAGGAACAAAAAACTGGAAGGAATTGGGCCACTGTCTCTATTCATACTATCTTTATATTTATTAATTTTGACTCTCTCATATGCATCTAACTGCCTGTAATTTGAGACTTATTTAACTAAATTTAAATTATTAATATCCATACAATGTTCATTATCAACAATATGTTGATAAAAAACACTAAATCACCACAATACACCAAACACTTTTACTTTGGACGCACGTTTCGCTAACTATGTTAGCATCATCAGCAGATGATTAAAAACTAATCTAATATCTACAAATTGACCTTTTATATGTATACTCGCTCAGTTGGTTCTGAGTGGGCGTGGCAAAAACTAGCCAAGGGAGTCAAAACCAACGGAGCGTAACAATTAGTTGCCGAAACTAGAGTAGTAGGAACAGAAAACTGGAAGGAATTGGGCCATTGTCTCTGTTCATACTCTCTTTATATTTATTAATTTTGACGCTCTCATATGCATCTATAATCGCCTGTAATTTGAGACTTATATAACTAATTTAACTTATAATATCTATCTATATTTAACTAAATATCTTATCTGAGCTATATGTTCTTTAAATCTAGTTAATATTGATCTTCTAGTTTGCCCATCATATTTCTGATTACAATCTTTACATGAAATTTCATACCCGACCTTTCTAGTGGAGGTGTTTTATCTTTAGGATTGCCTAGTTATAATCTATTATTAGCACTATACACAAGTTTATAATTGATATTCTTAAAAAATCTTTTTAAACCACGTGATAACTCTGTATCAAACGGTATTGAAAAATGTTTTGACGTATTTTTCTCCAATTAAAAAGTCGAATTTTCAGCAATCGCAAACTTATACCTACGTTTTCTAATTATTTTATCCACTAGTGAAGAAGCATATCCATTACACTCAGCTACATTCATAATGCAATTTCTTTATATTTCATATCTTTCGTTGGTAAGTGTAAAACTAAGTAATCTATGAACTAAGAAATTTAGTTCAACAAACCAGCTATCTTAAGCCGCGTATAAATATGCCGAGGCAAGTACGAGACAAACCCGAAACGAGTATGAAACGGGGCTATAGCAAATTCTTTCCAAAAGGCATACTAATATGCCGAGACGAGGACGAGACGAGTCAACCTCAAGCGGAATTCGTCATATTATAGCCTCGAGCCGAGCGATTTAGCCTCGAGCAGAGTCCCTGCCCAGTCGAACGGCGTTGTCTCGCGGCTATCCATTTTCAGTGGAGCCTTTGGCGAACCCACAAAATTCTTCATAGGGCTATGCGATACTGAGGCTGTATCGATATTTTGGTATCGGTTGTATTGAATATAAAGTATCGATACTTTAAAATATTGATAAATATATTAAAGTATTATTCGATACCATTCAATATTTTAAAAAATTAATTAATAAATTTAAGTATACTGTGTTTTTTAATTGGATTAGGATCGAAAAAAATCAACAGAAGTCCTTTGTTTTAAATTTGCTGACGTTTCTCAAAATTTATTTGCATCTTCAGGACACTACAAAGTTAAGAGAGCAAAATACAATCAAAAAATTTAACAAACAACTTAAACACATATCAGTGGAATTCCACACATATATAATTTTTCAACACACTCGATTTGCCTCTCTTATCTTCTATGTATCCTATATGTAAAGAATCTTGTTTTACATCTTTAATTCCGTTCAGCAGAAATAGCGCATAATTTACGTTTGAGCCGTTAATAACTCGACGAAAAGTTCATTACGTTTATTCATTTTTCATAAAATTTTCATGTTTTTATAAAAGAAATCACTAATAAATCTTTGTATATGAGATTTACCTACTTTGGCTAACTTACCTATACTATTTTAGAGAAGACACAATTGCATCTTTCTAGTTAGGATGCATTATTAACATTATTACAAATAGAGGAAAGAATATTTATTTTTATATAAAAATGGGATGTGGAATCCGAGCCCCTTGAGACTCGAGGCACTTGTTCCGCGGAGCCGCGGTGTATACGCCACTGGTTAAATAGACGCCCTAATCCTTTTGATGGTTCGCCAAAGGCTCCGGAAAAAACGGAGACAACGCCGTCCGGCTGGGCATAGGATCGGCTCGAAGCTCAGACCCCGTCCAAATATGACGAGTCAACCTCAAATCCGCTTGAGGTTGACTCGTCTCGGGTGTCTCTCGCACTCGTCTCGACATATTTATACGCAGCTTTATGTTCAACAACGCTATAACACGACTCATTAGGAATACATCTGCATGTAGTAGTGATTATCTAATTTAGAAATAAAATTATCTACGTTGTCAGAATGTATATCAAAGACAGCAAAAATATCATCCACATACCTAAACCATGCTCTTGGAAAATACTGAAACTGATTTTTAACCTCAACTTGAAACCTGCTCATGAATAGATTAGCCAAAAATGGAGACAATGGATTACCCATTGTTGACCTTCCCGTTGTTCAAAAAAGTTGTTATTAAATTGAAAACAATTTTGTTTCATACACAGCGATGTAAGCTCAATGTATTCAGTTACAGTTTTGTTGTCGAGACCATTTGCGTTCAGTAATTCTTTGTAGTTTGTAGCTTATAATTTAATTTTTAAATTATAGGGAAATTTTATCCCTATTTCCTATTCTAATTTTAAATTTTGTTTTTCTTTCTTTTTTATTTCAAATTGCTTTCCATGTAGGTAGGAAAACGCCTATTTAGACCAACAAATACTTCCGTGAGAATGAATTCCAATCTTGATGATCTC